CGCCCCTGCACTTGAGGGCCAGAGGAACCTCCAGAAGTGCCTGTTCCCCTTGGCTTCTGTTCTCCGCTCGCCCCCGCAAAGGGGCTTCGCTGTTGAGTGTAAGAGGAGGCGGTGGAAAGGAGGAAATCTGTGATGTGGCTGAGGAAGGAACGGTGAGAGCAATGGCTAGAGTTCGAAGGGCAGACAGGTGCAGATGGGAGGCGAAATCAAACGAAACTATACGATGCGCCTGAGTTAGGGTTGAGAAAAGATACTGTAAAGGAGCTGGGGATTTGCATTCTCACGTGTCTCCAAATCTAGACGGAGAGCCTTTCTGGATGCAAATAGCAGAAATATTTTTTTCTCCAAATAGGAGAAAACTGGTATGTAGATCACGTTCTCCTCTCCCCCTGTGCGGGAGTGGACGTGAGCATGTGGGGGCCGGAGGAATGGTGGGATCTGTGCACTGGTGGGTGACCCGGACCCAGAGCGACGTGGTCTCTGCAGTATTTCTCAGCCCAGCCAGTGTCACGTTTCCCCATGGTTGCATTTGGAACAATTCCAGGTTCATTTCCCAGCAATGGGAACTTCCTGCAGAGCTTGGAGATAAGATTGTTGCTGGGGCTGGTGTCCTTTTAATTGCTCTCTCTCCAGTTGATTTAGTCGACTTCTGGCCTGATCTCTTCCTGGTGTTTGTGGTTTTTTGCCCCTCCACCCCCACCCCCTCTCCAGAACGCCACCAGTGAACCTCTGAGACTGGACTACCGGACCCTGGCTGCTTTGCCCAGCAGTGGCTTACAGAGAATCAACCGCACCGTAAGTGAGGGGCTGTGGAGATGGGGGTCCCTGAGGGGGGAGGCTGTGGTCGTTCTGCTACTGCGCTCTCCGTGAGCCCTGGCGTGGGAGAGGGCAGCCCTCTGCGGAGGAACACTTGGAGGCACAACTCTGGTAGGCTTTGACACTGTCTGAAACAGGAGGAAGCCACAACAGAAAGATTAGAATAAGAAAAATGAGGAGAGCAGAGAGCCAGGTCGCTTTACATTTTGGAAAGGGAGGTGGCCCGTGTAATTGCTGAGATGCAAAAGAAAGTGCCTCCAAGAAGGCAGAAAGGACAGCCGAGCAGGAGAGAAGGACACGTGTGAATGAGAGAGTGCAGGGGATTTAACACAGAAGGAAGCAGCTACCGAAAGCTGCAGAGGAGGGAGGGGAAGATTCTTCCTGACACAGAAGATGACAATGTTGTGTGCACAGCTAAGTTGTAAATTCATTGTGGGACAGTGTTTAGAAAGGAGGAGGGATGCAGGGTGCTGATACCAAAAGTATTAAAAGAAAGCCAAGATCCATCTGGCACTGCAGAAGGCAGCGTGGCAGTGGTTGCGTATCCTGACTTAGCCCTGGTACAGCCTGGCATGCTCCTGCCCCTGTGGCTGCGTTTCAGCCCCTGATTACGTAGTGCCAGCTCAGCCAAGAGAAAATCCAGATTTCATATACTTCACAGATTACAAAGTCATCTGTCTGTCCTGTCTTGTTTAAAATCTCACCTCACCTCTCCATCTGTGCTTCCTTTGGTCATGTTTTATCTTCCCTGCACCATACCTATTCCACTGGGTTTCTGCCTGCTCCTTCACACACATCCTCAGTCTTCACCTCCATTCCTTTCCTCCTTTTTTTCCTCCTTTTGCGGCAAGACCACCTCTTCTCTGTGGTCATCAGCTTCTGCGTTCCCATTGCATTGTTTCAGGGTCATCTCTTACTGTCTCCATCTCATTCCATCCAGACAGGTCTCCTCTCCTATTCACCTGTCCTCTCATTGCCTTTGGCCCTCTTGCTTTTCTGCTTTCACACTGATTAGAGCCCTGCTTTGTCTCCAGCTTTGTCCCATTCTATTCCTCCCCACGCTCCCCAGCTGTTGGGTTTTCTCTCCTGGCTGTTCACACAGAAGAGTGTTACCAGGAAAAGGTTTAACGTATTTTTAGCATCTCTTAGTGTAACTTAGTAGCTGGAAACAAGGGTAGAGCCAGCCCCACGCAAGCAGCTGCCTCTCTGCTGGACAGCCCTGGTGTCGTCCAGAGCAGAGCAGCATTTGAGACCTGCACTGGAATGTGGGGCCGAACACGCTGGAATGCCGGGGTGTATGGGCGGCATCTATAAATGTCTCGTTCCAGGGGAAGGGCCGATTGGTGCCCATGTTTTTCTTTCCAGCTGTATTTTTTGCCCAGCCCTGTCTTTGCTCTGCTTGAAAAAATCTGTCTGCTTAGATCGTAAGTACGGGGAGATACGGGCTCCAAGGTCAGCAAGGTTCTAGCTTCCCTTCAGGAGCTGCACCCAGCCTGCTTGGTGACTGCCTGGAACGCTCAAACACGGATCAGTGTGGCCAGCAGAAGAGCATGAGGTTCAATTAACAGGTGGTCTATCTGCAGACAGTCTGATTGGATTAAGGTGACTAATGCCATTGCCCAGCTCTCACAGTATTTTCCTCTTTCTTCCTGTCTCTAGGCCAAATTCTCACCACCTACATTCTTCTCTAAACAGTGTCTATTATCTTTTGTTGCTGTATTGTTCCCTGCAAGGGAGTTGCAGGGCTTGCTGTTCTTCACACTGCTGAACAGGAGGAGGTGCAACCTCTGTCGTGACCGCTGTAGGTTGTGGGTGGAATTTGTCCTGAGGATTCCCCAAGAATTGCCCCCGAAGAAGGGAGCAGATGGTTGTCTGCCTTGGAGTAATCTGTATTGCTGTGGTGTATTGGTCCTTTTGTGAGCCAGGTTTGACAAAGGCTTACTGAGATGCCAGCCTGTTTTGTTCATAGAATTTTAAAACTCCAGCTGAAAAATTCCAGTTGAAAGCTGCAGGAGAATGCTCATCTTGGCGATGCCCTCCGGCTGTGCCAGCCTCTCAGTGTACTCAGTGTCTGCAGTGTACTCAGTGCACGACAATGTCTGGATACTGCCGTCGCAGTGACAGAGGCTGTGACAGTCTCTGTCTTCTTCAGAGGACAGCCTTGAAAACCATACCCATGGATGAGTGCACCTGGCCACAGCAAAACATTTAAAATCTATTTTTGCTCTCTGGACTGTAAGAAATGGAGAATACTTGACATCTCTCAGTAGGTGTCACCACGGTTAATTAACAATCTGTACTTTCTAGGCTGAATCTATTTCTCTTCGACTTGTAGCCATTGATTCTTTCTCGGTGCTTGTTCGTTAGATTTAAAATTTGATTCGTTTCAGCGTCTGGGGCAAAGCGACGGATCAGAACTGCAAATGCATTTCTTCTGGATTTGCCTTGGAGGGTGCAGGGTAAAATGGGTTGTCGTGTCTGCCAGACTGGGGAGCGACAGAGGCACAGCTGGGAAAAGCACACTGCATTGCCAAAATCTTTGCTTACTCAAAATAGAAATTGTTGCTTCTCTGATAAAAATAGCCCACTGCGAAGTGGAGGGAGCGAGTCATCCTGCACTGGAATACAGTGCTGCAGCCAAAGCGCTGGAGATTCAGGCAAGGGGTGGACGAAGCTCGGTTCCAGTCGTGTCCATGAACAAGACAGGGATTGAGGCTCCCCATCGACTGTCAGACTTCATATGGTCTTGGTGAAATGGCCACCTCCACAGTGCCCTAAAAGCATTGTTTACTTTTTCCCTTTGTGCAAGGCAAGGTGGGCCTTGGCGTTGGTGGGATTCACTGGAACCCAGGTGGGTCAGTGTTGGTGCTCTTCTGCTTGGCAAGAGAACGTGGCAGTAGGCTCAGAGGTGCCCAGCTGTAGGACCAGCAGACCCTTGGTGGTGGTGGTTTGCTGGTGGCATTTTCATTGCTGCACCCCCATTGAACACATGATGTTCCTGAAAGCACTTCTTGCCTTGCATAACTTTATGTGCAGTAGAGTTTTTGCTGGTGTAGTTTATGGCATTCTGGGAGAAGAAAGTTGGAATTTGGATTTTTTTTTGGTAGGGTTCTTTTATATTGGAAAGTCACATAGCTACAATAGCAAAATTTCTAAGGGTAGCACAGGCTTCACTGTCTGAAGAAATATGATATGACCAGGGCTCTGCCAGCCAGTGCTTTAGGTTGGGTTGGGGTTGAGGGGTTGGAGGAGGGCCTCAGAAATTCCTGAGCCTCTCAGCTGCCATTGTAGTCACCAGCCCACCCAGCCCTTGAGAGCTATTTTTGTGAATGCTGCCATGACACAGGAGTTGGAGAATGTGCCCTGAGCAGAAGAGCTCTTCCTGCTGCCTGGCAGGCAGTTGGATAGAAGGAGATCCGATCGTTGCGCTCCGATTATCTCTGCTCCCCTGAAGAAGGCTTTGGCTGGGGTAACAAGCTCTCTTTTGCAGTATTGAAGGAGGAAAGGTTAGTGCTTTATCTTGGATGGGTGCCATTGGGCCCAGGCAGAGCTGGAGCTCTGTCTCCGTCCTGCCTTCAGTAAGTGCTCAGAGGGGTCTGTGTTAGCTGTGACTTAGCTCTCTGTTACGTGCTGGTGTGTGTTACGATGAAGTGGGGCCATAAAAGCGTGTTTGCCCATGCAGGTATGATGGAACTTCCCAGGGAAGTGGTGGAGTCACCATCCCTGGGTGTATTTAAAAGACATGTAGATGTGGTGCTTAGGGACATGGTTTAGTGGTGGACTTGGCAGTGCTGGGTTAACGGTTGGGCTCGATGATCTTAGAGGTCTTTCCCAACCTACATGATTCTCTGATTCCAACTGCATGGGGTAGACGATGTGGTGGTGACTGTGTAACTGTATGGAAACGCACTGGGGTGAGGTGGGAGGTGTTATTCTGTGTGGCAGTACTGGAACTGCTCGTAAGAGGTCTGGGCTGAGACAGCTGATGTTTGGCCGCGTGAAGGTGGAGCTGAATCGACGATGCGCTGCAGTGACATGGGAGAGGACGTGTGTTTGTGCAGGTTTTGGCAGTCGGTTTTGCTGGAGAGCAGCAGTGTAACTGGTGAGCTGCTAAGTGCAGGCTGGAACACGTATGGGAGTTGGGAAAGCGCAGGGAGTGTGCCCGTGCCTGCCAGCTGCTCGGTGTGTGTGTTGCATGCCAACAGCACCGTCCTCTCTTGGGAGTCGTGGCCAGGGTCACCAGCTGGGTGGCAGAGCAGAGGAGAGGGCAGGGATGGTTGTGTGGGCATTAGTATCTCTCCCTGTCCTTCCGCAGCAGCAGCTGCTGTTTTCTCCCTCCTCTCCTTACTCTGTTCTCCTTATTTCTTTCTGATCCTTTTGTTTTCCTCTCAGCTTGCTCAGTACAGTAAGGCCAGCTCCAGAATGGAGGGCGACGGCGCTGTGCTGTCTCTGCCCGTGGCACAGGACAGCCGGGACTCGTGCCCAGAAACA